GGTGGAGGATATTCTTACAGCGCCACTAGACTGTGGTTGTGTAAGGGTAAATATGAACTATTTAAATAACTTAATAAGTTTTTATTTATTTATATAGGAGTAACGGTGACATCGTTTGTCGCAAAGTCTACCTAATGATAAGTAGATGCTCTTGCCCGTACATCTATCCTCCAAAATGCAAATTAATTTTTAAACCCTAGAGGACTAAGATACATTGCAAGGTCTCTAATTCTTGTCACTCACCATACTTAACACACCAACATTATACTGCTCTTTCACGATGGTAGTGTAAGCGAACGTGATCCTCCCCCAGTCAACTCAACCGATTGATGTTGAGTTGACTGGGGGATTGACATGAGTTATAATACGAATGTTGGTGGACCAATCACGTAATAGATAAATAAATAATAATGTCCTCCAGACCAAATTTTGGTCACGGCGGCCAACCTCAACGGAGACTAGCCAACTACGCAGGACGGGATTATAGTGCCCAAGTGTATGCGCAAGCACAGGTGCACTCTCTATTCCCTCACTCTCATAGTCCAATAGGACGGTAAACCGACACGACCTGAGAGAGATCAGATGCAGGACCAACGTATCTACGTGATTTCCGAAGAACGGAGGTAAGACACCACCAACTTCCTGACTCCGAGCAGCTACTGAGAATTTCTTGATGGAAACGCTCAATAAATTTTTTTGGGACTCGAATACGAGATCTCATGATCAGCAGTCGCAATACAACAACCACTAGATCAACCAGGCAGATATGTTTTATAATGTATGCTTTATTGTTATTGTTTCATGGTGATCGACCTTTAAATATGACATCAGCTGTGATCATGTGTTTATATTTCTTTTGTAATATTTTGAGCATTGAGTTGGATCTGTGCGTTGGAAAAGAAGTCTTAATTATTGCAAAATATCTGAAAATGCTATTTCCAATTTACCAAGCATGATGACTGATGACTTTAGCATATCATGTTAATAATAGAAAATAATGGTGAGTAGCCGTACACTATTTACAGGTTGATAACGATGATGACAATGATAATGATGATGATGATGATGACGTTATTGGTAGAGATAGTCTGCATGAAATCAACTGTACACAGGAACGTATTGGTCTTAAATTTATTACACGTATAAATTAATTAAAGCATGAGTCTTATTTCAATTACGACGTGGGGCCGAAAGCGAAAATAAAACCTAGTCAAACGATTGGACGAAAATTGGACGCTGATGAGTAATTGGAATTCTAAAATTAACTTTGTTGACACAAATAAGAAGCAATTACCCATAAAGGTAACACTCCCCGTGTTCAAGTAATCATAGAATGTGCTTAGACGTCATAAAGGCACTTCTGTTAATGGTTCACATAAAATTTTGGACGTCGTGTATTCTTAAATAAAAAAAAAGTATTATAACGATCACATAGTCGACATGATATTAATTATTTTATTTATTTATTCAAACTTTATTGTATGAACGTTGGAAAGGACGGACTTAATACCAGTTAGCATTCTCTACCAGTCAACCCATGACGTGATCTAAAGCTAGTGGCAGGTGACTTATATATTTTTATATATATACAAGTCCACTGTTGAACATAGGCCTCCACTAAGGAATACCACAAAGCACAGTCCTGAGCCACCTGCATCCATTGACTTCCTGCATGTCTTACCAGGTGGTCTTCCATATAGTTGGGAGATGCCCTACACTTCGTCCGCTAATAAGAGGCTTCCACTCGAGAACCTTTTTTCCCCATCGGTTGTCGGTTCTTCAGCGCTATGTCGGGCACTCTGCCACATTTCTAAATTTATCACGCAGAGAAACCCCGAGCATAGCCCTCTCCATAGCTCGCTGAGCGAACTTGAGCTTACTCATCAGTGAAGAACCACGTCTCAGTTCCGTAGGTCATCACTGACAACACGCACTGTTTGTACAGACTCGTTTTCAAGGATTGAGGTATACCTGACGAGAAGATGCTGAGACAGCAGCTTACTTTATATAAAGTACACGTCCAGTTGTGCATGGAGTACTGCTGCCATATATGGACTGGTGCTACAAAATGCCACCTAGCAGCTTGGACTCAATGGAAAGGCGTGCTAAGAGGGTTATTAGTGACTCAAATATTGTAAAAACTAATCTTACCAACCTCGAACACAGGCGAAAAGTAGCAAAGAATTGCATAATTTAGTTCCTCTCCCTTCCACCATCGGACAACCAGACGTTCGGTCAGTCTACATTATTTGGTTATTGACTTACCACGCCAGATGTATCAAACCAAACGGTTTGCTACATCGTTTATCATGCGTACAGCAAAGGAGTGGAATAAGTTGCCAGCATCTGTCTTTCAATACGATAACAATATGGGCGCCTTCAAGGCAAGAGTGAATGATTTAACGATTCCGTGGCACAGTGGCATAACAATGAGTTGCAGTGCGAGCCGCTGGTTCGAACCCCGCACGGAACAATTATTCGTATGGTCTAGAAATAATTGTTCCGGGTCTGGATGTTTGTCCTTGTGAAATTTGTGTGTGTAAACTACGATACAGAAGAAAATCATAAGTAACGTTCTTTTTTTTTAAAAAGAGAAAAAAGAATGAATAGCGATTGTAGTTATGCACTGACTCAGAATATTAAAAAAATCCAAAGTATGTTAGCGTTAAAAAGATTTTTTGGATATTTTTTATAGGTATAGGTATTTAAGTATATTTTAGATGGCCCCCAGATGGCTCAGTACCGTGCTTTGAGGCATTAAATGGGGGAATCATATGTTTAGCAGTAGCCATGTGATAGGCAGTATTGATTTTAAATGAAGATAAAATCAATTGATGTCATGTTTTTTTTTATTTTTCTGACAATATTACATGAAATGTATTTCTGTTTAACGGTCAGTTGCGATTATGTGTTTTCATTATATTATATACGCGTATGTCACAACACAAAACCCGTGCGGTTAACCGCAAATATATATAATTGGTCTTTAAATATGAAAATACCGTTTATTATGGGAAAATTGAAATACCAACACATTCTTGCCTTATTATTCTTTATCCACAGAAGTCTGCTGCACGAACATCGATGAACTTAATAAAGTGTTCTTTAATGTCTCTTAGGAGTTGAACTTCTTGCTTATCAAAATGATATATAAACTATGAAATAAGTGGATGTCTGTTGGGGCAAGGTCTTGAGATTATCTTAGACGAGAAAGAGTCTCTAGCTTTAGGTCTGCTAATTTTTCCAGCGTCTGTTGTGCAGTATGCCGGGTGTTGTAATGAAGAAGCAAGCTACAAAGAGTAGTTTACCGATGTGGGTTGTAGCGGCGCTGTCGTCGCGCCACAAGCGAAACACATCGAAGCCTAAATCGCACTAGCAAAGTTCGAAAATAAAGCAGCATTATATATAGAATAGCTCCGAACTAACAATCGGACCGTTGGCCGCTCCCCGGGCATAACACCATACCCGGCGGGAGATCTCCCCTTTCCCTTCCACCTACCACAGTGGTGACCCCGACGTGATATACTTCTAAAAACCTTCGTCATCGTCCTCAAGTACCCCATTCATTCGCCTCCGAGCTGAGTCTGCAGTCTTCACATTCTGCAAGTCATCTAGCTTTGCAAAGGTTCATTGCAGCACTGGAATAATAATGCTTCCTGTTCCTTCAAGCTACTCTCTGCGCTACAGTGTTCGCCACGGTTCTGAGCCTTACTGCTCGCCTCTGCTTCACGGAACTTTCGCAGATTACTTGCCTTCTTCTCGACTCACCGCAGACTTACAAGGCAATTCCCTGGCACTTGCAAATTCGTCGACATCAGACTGCACTATCGACCTCCGGTCTGAGCAGGGGGGTGATGTAGCGGCGCTGTCGTCGCGCTACAAGCGAAACACATCGAAGCCTAAATCGCGCTAACAAAGTTCCGAAGTTAAAGCAGTATATATAGAATAGCTCCGAACTACCAATCGGAGCGTTGGCCGCTCCCCGGGCAGAACACCTTGCCCGGCGGGAGATCTCCCCTTTTCTTTCCAGCCGCCACAGAGTTGTTAAGGCCAGCTTCTACACCATCGTCATTTCTTGACACATTCAACAGTTAACGGTAACACCAAGTGGCAAGAATCTATAGTGAATAACACCAACCTTCTCCTCTGGGGACAGTCTAGAAGTTCGTTTATGGGGTAAAAATTTCCAACTTTCCTATGAATCAATAACGCAGAGTTCGTTCGTTAGTAGCATTCGTATACGTTATTGATATTGAGTGCCATTTAAGATGTATTGTTTCTAAATCAGAACTCATATTTAAAGCTGCTACGAATTTACATTACTAGGAACGTTGCGGAAAAAAAAACAAAAAAAATTAATTAAAAAAATAAAATGCCTTGTATATAAACTTATGAAAAGAAAACTATAAACATTACTTTTTTAAATGGCCAGTTTAATAAAACTCAATTTCCTAGGAAACGATCTAACAGTATGTCTTGTAACACGCCATACAGTAACAGCAGTTCGTAATTATAATATACATTATCATATGACCTAATATTTCCAAAACTCTTTACCACTGGTTTGGAAGATATTTTCAAGGCACTGAACTGAAAAATATAAGGCATCATTTTTGACGTTGAATACATCACTCATATTTACTGAAGATATAGCTGTAATGGCGGAGTCGCTTAGATATCAGATATTGCTTCAGTTGCTCCAGTCAGCTTCAGTCCAAGAGGTATCATAAGAAGGACAATTGTGAACAAGACAAATGTCTAGCTTCCACTTCATGCCGGGGCTGGTAGATGTTAATAACATAACGCACGAAGTTATTAGCAAGCACGGGGTAAATCTGCTCTATCAAGATAGCAGTGAAAACTCTGAAAATAACCTTGCATGAGAATTTGTAGCTTAATAGTTTCTTCGTATTTTATATACAAACTGAAAACATTTTTTTTCAAAGTTTAATTACATTTAATTATTTATTTAATTATAATATATATACGTGGCATTGTGTTCAATAGCTTGTTGTCATTTTGTTGGTAGTAACATAATCGCGTTGCAAAAGAAATCTTGGGATTTTTGATTTAAAAAAATGCAACAAGTAATTGTGACAGTCCTCTCTTGATGTTAACCAAACAGTACCCAAAGAATTCGGAAGCGACCGAAATAGGTGAAAATCTGAGGTTACAAGGTCAGGACTATACAGTGGACACATTAACATTTCCCAAACAAGCTCTCTCAATTTTTGCTGAGTGGCCAAGAATGTGTGAGGTTTGGCGTTATTATGATGAATGACCACTCCTTTTCTGTAAATCAATTCCGGCCGTTTTTCTCTCAATTTATTGCTTGAGTCTCATTAGTTGGTGCCAGTAGAGATCCGAACCAATGGGTTTGTCCGTCGGTGAAAGTTCATTATAAACGATGCCCTTCCAAACCCACCATACACAGAGCATCACTTTATTACGTGTTAATCCGGGTTTCGCTGCAGTCTGTGGAGCTTGACTACCCTTTGACCATGAATTTTCATCAACAGTGATCAATCTTTTTACAAATGATTCGATTTCATTACGTTTCAATAGAGAGTTGCAAATGAGTATACTATTTCATTAGGTTTCTTTCGGTGAGCTGAGTGTGGTACCCAAATATCGAGTTTTTTTTTTGTATAGCGAGACTTTTTAAATGGGTCAAAACTGTTCTGTGGTCAATTTTCAAATCTCCTCGGCTATGTCGTAACTACTAATATGACGCTTTTGCTCCACTTTTTAAAAAATGGCATCGCCTTTATCCGTATGAGGGCGACCAGTGCGAGCTGCATCTTTGACATCAAAGTTCCTGGACTGAAAACGCTTAAATCAACTTTTTGCTACTCTTACTGACACTGCTACTTACTCTTACTGCTTTTCGCTGCTTTAGTCACATTTTTCCCTTTTTTGTTATAAAACATCAGAATGTATCGAATTTCGTTGTAGATTCGCACATTTTGGCGGACAGAAAAACAATTGAAAAATGGCGAGAAAGTGGGTTTTACTTTTTTTGTTCTTAATGTTCTATATGTATTGATAATAAAACCAGTCAGCAGAAAATTTATACAAACTAAAATAGTAAAATTAAAAAATTTATACAACCGACTTCAATTTAAATTATTAAGGATAACTCAAAAACTAATGGTCAGACATTGATCAAATTTATATGACCACATGAGAAGCACCAACTTCCAAATAAAAGGAATTATCAATATCGTATACACATAAAATATGTGTTACAATTTTTTTAATATATTACAAATTTTGGTGTTATTGTAACAGCTGGATTGCAATTCTAGCAATCTACTTCTGAACCGCTTCTAGTGGCAAAAGAACACTCATTATATCTATCTACGTACCTGCCTGGCCAGTGCCAGAAGGAGTAAAACATTTTCTCTTGTCTCAGTTCCTTAAGTTAAAGCTAGCAGCAACAGCGGAAAATGATTAAAAAGTTTTTCCTGTTTAATTACTGTGACACTTCAAGCGAGCCGTATTGCATTGTTTATAAGTTTTGATTCATAATTTCAGACAAATTTTGAATTAAAATTTACGACTTTTCATTTTTATTTGGGATTTAAGGAGAAATATATATATATATATATATATATATATATATATATATATATATATATATATATATACCTAGTCAGGTCATAGATTCTGTCACATGTTTAATATAAAATAATTGAAACAAATTTATTCATTATGTAACCATTTATATACCAAAATGAACTTAACAAAACATAGATTCTTATGACACTAAAGTTTATTCAAAATGACCTCCGTGATTTTGAATACAGGCCTTCAATCTGCGCGGCCAGTCGTCTATCGCAACACGAACGAGGTCCATGTCAATATCGGCGGCTGCCTTAATCAAGGATGTCTTGAGTGACTCCAAATTGGGATGTGGCTTTGAGCACGCCTTTTCCTCCAAGTGTTGCCATATCTTGTAATCTAACGGATTCAAATCTGGACTTTGGAGGGCCAATCTTCGTGCCGGATGAAGTCGATTTCACGCGCCGCCAGCCAGTCTTGTGTGCTCTTCGCTCTATGAGCTGGCGCCGAATCTTGTTGGAATACCCAGTGCCTGTTATTGAACATGGTATGAGAAACAGGTTCCACAAGGTTCGTCAGGACTGTATTTTGATACACAACTGCATTCGTTTTTACACCTTTCTCACAAAAATGTACCTCTGTTAAGCCCCAATAAGAAACTCCCAACCATACCATGAGCGAGGATGGAAAATGACCTCGTTGGACACTTTGTAAAAATTGTAAAAAATTTTTCATCCCAATATTTTTTTCCCACGTACCGCTTCAACAAACCACGGCATCTCTTCAGTCTCAGGTCCATTAGAAGAGCACTCAAACGATGTCCTGTTTTTCTTCGATATGCCCGAAGCCCTAAGTCTTCATTTAACACCCTTTTCACCGTGGTTCTGCTTAACCGCATCTGAAGGGCCAACAGTTTCTGCTTACGTTTGGGATTTCTTTGAATTCGCGCCTTCACAGCTTTTATCACTGCTGGAGTCCTAACAGACCGAGGGCGACCACTTCTTCACCTGTCATCTACACTAGAGTCTTCATTGTATCGTTTGAAGGTACGATAAACGAATCTTTTGGTTATATTCAAGTTTTTCAGTATGTCAAAAATTTGAATTGGCGCGTAACCGCAACGATGCAACGCAATAACTGCAACACGGTCTTCTTTAAGCGTCCACTCCATATTTAAAAATGAGTAAAATTCTAAAAAGTATACACTTTTATTTTCATGAACAATTCGAAATTCGAATTCAATAAACTTTTTTGTGGCCAGCATTCTAAAAGAAAAGTTTTTACTGTGTGTCAATACTATACTTATGACCTGACTAGGTATATATATATATATATATATATATATATATATATATATATATATAAAATTAAGTGTCACGTTGTTTGTCCGCGATGGACTCCTAAACTACTGAACTGATTCATATAAAATTTTGCACACTGCGTTCAGTTTGGTCCAACTTGAGAGATAGGATACTTATTATCCCGATAAGTGACCCTCAATTTTTTTATTGCTAATTTCAGGAGTTTTTTTAGGAAAGCAAATTGTCGTCGAAAAGGGCAGAACAAACACTATTGATCGACGTACGATGCTATGGCAACCGATTAGTCCAAAAACGCTGAACTTAGATTTTATAGAATGGTGATAATAACGCTACAAAAGTGAAAGAATCGATTCTGTGATTTCCAATCCTCCTATCCATCATAGCCACTATGAGCAAATAATCTAATGAACGCCACCAAGAGCATACTTGGAACTTACATATATCCAACTTACATATATCCAAACACGTGATCCATGGCAAATTTACGCTACAGTATATTATTCCTGCGGCACGAATGGTTCAGTTCAACTGGGAATGGACCTCACTAGTATATAGTAATAGCACAATGCCACAGTGTTTCATATGGTGAGTGAGAAGAACCGAAGATCCTTTTTACTAGTCTTAGACCTTAGGATTTTGGTTATTTATTGAGTACATCAATGGGCCACATAAACAACTAACAATCAAGTGAACGTTGTGCTTCTTTGTCACATTTACTTGCCTTAAAAAAATTTAGACTTAAGTGGTGTAAGATAGTTAGTTATATCTGATGGGACGATTTTTAATTTATTGAAAGTGTGAGTAAATATTGGGTCACCGCACCTCTTTATAGCTCTGAATTGTCATCGGCATAGTAAGAAAGAACTATAAAATATTTGATTTTTAATCATGTAGGTACGTGCTTTACAATCGTTGTTTATTTTGCTTCAGATAGACGTCGTTAAAATCAAATTTTATAGCTATCGTAAATAAAATGCCTCGGGAACATAACATCCCCTTCGTTCTCGACTAATGGAATTTGTTAGCTTGTTATCTATCTATCCTATAATGAAACTGTTCCCATTCCAAATCTGTACACTGAATTTTTTTTTAAATTTTAATTACTTTATACTTTTTACGGATAAAGGAGCCAAAACATTTTCTTTGTCTGTCTGCCCGTCCCTTTGAATACAATAGGCTCTAAGACCACTGGATGGATTTTGAATTTTGAAACTTGGCATGATTTTGGCTTATACTTTGGAATAACATTTAAGATATTTTTTCAATAACTGTCACGTATCGAATTCAACGTGCGGGGTAATATTAAGTAATAGTGTAAAAGTGTATTTTTATAAAATATTTTTATATCTATTTATGATTTAAAAGATTGCCAGTGATGACTTATGGGACTGAGACGTGGTCCTTAACTGCTGGCCGTACGAGGAAGCTCAAGGTTGCTCAGCGAGCTATTGGGGGTTTCACTGCGTGTTAAACTTAAAAATGAGGATATCCGCAGTAGAACCAGAGTGACCGACATAGCCCAACGGATTAGTAAGCTGAAGTGGCAATGGTCTGGCCATATAGCTCGAAGAACCGACATACGATAGGGAAAAAAGGTTCTCGAGGGCGACCCCCCACTAGATGGAGTGACGACCTGGTAAGACATGCAGGAAGTCGATGGATGGAGGTGGATCAGGACCGTGCTTTGTGGCATTCCTTGGGGTAGGTCTATGTTTAACAGAGAATTTATGAAGGCCTGTAATGATGATGATGACGATGATTTTTAGCGACAAGAAAAAAATATTAACAATGCTAAAAATAATGATTTCTTATATTTACACGAAGACCACAAATTAAATAAAACTAATATTTACGGATTTTATCGCGTTTAATTTAATTTTTTAATTCAGTCTTAGAGGGGTAGGTAGAGACTACGGACTTCTATTTGGCACGAGCCTGACACACCTGTCTCGCCACATTTACATTCATATACCTACACATACATCCTCCTCGATTAAAAGTACTCTTAATTTGGCCCAATTCCAACATATCGCCAATTTGCTCGATAAACCTCCGTATAGGGACGCCCTGTCGACTCTGCCGTTTACTTCTGCAACATAAAGGAGAATGGGATTTTTGGGCCTGGAGTTAACTAATTGGTTTATACTTTAAAAAATTGTCCATATTTTTCTTCAGTAAAAGTAAAAGTACAAAAAAATTAGCTCTTTTTACAATCTAGATTTCGAAATAACAATAAAATAAGAAATAAGTTAGAAAATCGATTGTAGTGTATTAATTATGGCAATAAATCGATTACCATAAAGAATACTCTAGTG